TGATGATGATGATGACGGTGATGATGGTGGTGGTGATGATGATGGTGATGATAATGATAATGATGGTGATGATGGTGATGGTGGTGATGATCATGATGGTGGTGATGATCATGATGGTGATGATTTTGAATGTCTGCACGTGTTAATCAGCGCAGGTTTTCTTCTCTTTTGTGTGGTTTGTTTCAGAGTAAGAAGCCTCCGCCAGGTAAACTGGCCATTTTTTCACAGTCTCACTATTATCTGTCTCCGTATCGCTTCAGAGCCACAGAGAAGGACGACCTAGACGTGCAGTGAGTATCATCTAGCACATCTGTATCTATATACATCATCATCATCATCATCTGTATGACTGACGACAATCATAGTCTGTCTGTGTTTTTGTCAATCCGTCTCTGTGTTTGCGTCCGTCAGTCCAGGAGATCGAATCACTGTGATCGATGATTCTAATGAGGAGTGGTGGAGAGTGAGTGATTCACTGATTCACTGAATCAAACACACAGCCAACACTGCAGTCACACTCAGAAATATACAAAACATCACAGCAAAGGGTCATTGATTCAAAACATGACATTGTGTTGTCAGCATTGTTTATATGATATATAATAATGTCAGTTCATATATACACTACTGTTCCAAAGTTTGAAGTTGGGAACATTTTTGAAAGATTTTCTATGGCTGTATGTGTTTAAATTGTGAAATAATAAATGTCTTTACTGTCACTTTTGATCAATTTAATGCAGCCTTGATGAATAAGTTTTCTTTTATTAAAAAAAAAATCATCCAAACTTTTTGACAGTAGTGTATATATGTTAAAGAAAAGTTTTTAGGTCACATCCCTGGACGTTTCAAATAATTTCTGCATTAAAGACATAACCAAGTACTAATTTAATCCACATTTCAGGGGAAGATTGGTGAGCGATCAGGATTTGTTCTGGCCAGCTACATCATCCGTGTGCGTTCAGGAGAGAGAGTTTACAAGGTGACACGATCCTTCGTCGGAAACAGAGAAATGGGACAAATAACACTGAAAAAAGACCAGGTACACAAAACACACACACTCGCTTGCACACACACACACACACACACACACACACACTCACTCTCT